CTCACCTCAATCTCCTCTCCTCATGGGTCGCCTTGCCCTGTTTGTTTTGTTATGCCATGTGCTCGTTGTTTGGATTGGCGGTCCTGCCTCCAGACTCCTCCCACGGCCACACCCCTGATTGGGGCACAGCTGTTACCGCCAGCAGTATATCAACCCCTGGTCCTGCAGACCTGGGTTCGTCAGTCTGTGTCATCTTCGGCTCTGGTGGGCTTCGCCACCATGCAGCAGGTCGCTTGTTGCCTGCTCGTGGACTATTTCGCTCTTCTCTCTCGGCGTCCAGCACCTGACCGATTGACCGGCCCTCATGTGTCCGACCTCAGGCTCCACATTCCCGCCCTCTCAGGGGTTGAAATAAAAGCTGTATACCTGATTCTGTCTCCCGTGGTCAAGCTTGTGGGTCCTAACTTTGAACTCCCGTGAGATTAGTAGAATGATCAATTCTGTAAGGTATGAAAAAGCTCCTCCATCTATCCATCTTTTTTATTCAGGTGAATCAATGACTCTCAAAACATTGGGATTTGGTAATTGGGCCACACTACTAAACACGAGATATCAGATGACTCAGAGGGAACATGACTCATGAATGCTTTTCTAAAGTGATTTAATTCATTTGATATTTTAGAGTTTATTCTGTGAATGAGGGCTGAAGGAAGTGTATATATGGAAAAGTAAAATGTATGAACTAATAAATACAAATTGGTTAGGCCTGATAATATTGCACAGCTATGGCCATCGTGTTGCCAAAATCATACCTGTACTTTACTTTACCAAGAATTTGCTCACTAATTAAGTTTTGTTATTAGCATACAAATTTGGGGATCACTAAATTGTATGTATCACTGATAGCGAAAGAACCACAACTACAAAAATACTTCAAATGTAATTCCATTTACAAGTCAAAATTGCTTCCAAAACACTCAATACTGGCTTGGCGACTACATTTCATAAAAAACATTACAGAACAAAGGAACCACAAAAAGATGTGTTATTGGCCAAGTTAGCAACATTTTATGCGAAATGGGGACGGTGGTGAATATTGTATTGCACTCTTTACATCAGCATGTCAGTGTTGTCAATATGAACATGTTAGCATGTTGATGTTGGCATGTAGACTGTAAGCTCATTCTAGTTACAAAATGCTGACGTTTTTACAATTGTCACTGTGTGTGACGCAAAGACATTTTGGCAATTGTTGTTTGGCAATGCAGGGGATTTAAAACTCTGTTCTCCATTGTCAGCTGTGAAAACAAAGTAATGTAGCCTACCTCAAGGTAATTCTGGTAAACTCTTAATCCCCATGATTTGCCCCTCCTCTGACCCTGGTTAGTGCACTTCGCAGCTCAGGAAGCAAACTATTCATATCCAAGGTGTCCCTGTGCTTTCGAACTCCAGCCTGAATGGTCATTAGAGCTTTTGTTTCAAATCTGACTTTGGCCTCGTTTCCTGTTATTTGTGTGTCCAATGCATTGTGAAAGTGCTCCTATTTATTTACAAAAACATTTGTGTTGGCACTCATTGCTGCTCTATTAATTGCATGGTTGGGTTTTAATAAGAAACAGGATTATATACGTTAATATTAAAAGACCATAAGAAGCATCTGCTAACTCTCATTTATGATTTTGACAGAAATCATAAACTTTAAACAGCATGAAATAAAGCCTAGAAAAAAATAATCGATTTTGCTGTGACGGGCACTGTGGCCGAATAACCTCTCACATCTCAAAAATCACGCGCTATTAGTGATTCTTTAGGTGTTAACCAAATATCCAAATACTAAAATACCCTTTCAGACAGTGTCCAGTAGTTCCCAACAACAGGAGCCCAGTGAAGGATCATGTTGTGACATCCATCAGCCTCTGGGGTCACAGATTGCAGGGTGAGTCATCCGGCTTTGGTCCGCCATCAGCCTCCTCGGTCTCTGCACCCGGTGCGCTCTGCCACTCAAATGAGCCTCGTTATGGGTCCTCTGGAGCTCCACCGCCAGATGGAAAAAAAACAAAACAGGTGCACAGAGCATGACATGGACGTGCACGGGGAAACAGAAAAGTGCCGAGGTGGGTGTTGGATCCAGACCTCCCTTCCTTTCATCCATTTGCCGCAACGGATCTGACACCTGTTGGTTCTGTCATCAGTGTCACTTTCACCCTTCTAGCAGCCCTTTGTGGGATGCTCCGTTGTTTTCCCCTTACCGTGCAGCTCTGTGGCAGCAGACCTCCAGCTCGAGTGCTCGTGCCCTTTTCTCCACCGGAAAGCACAACCCACCAGCAAACCTGTCCAAAGTCTTCTGCGAGCCTGGCAAAACAAAGGGCCGCTGACAGGATAAAGCCTGGCTGTTTTCATGAATACAGAATTCTTATAGAGCAGTGATGTCAAGTGACACTGTGACTCTCAGTGAAAGGAAGATTATTATCCACTAGATGTGTAAAGTACTTTTATCAACCCATTGCTCCTACGTGTACTCAACACATCCATTTAAAATATGTGACACTTATGAAGAAAAAAAAAAGTGACTTTACTACTCTATTCATTTGACAAATAGTTACTTGGTATCAGTCCGTTTTCAGGTAATGTATTTCATAAATGTATAAAAGGTAATACAATATTTTAAATGAAAAGGCTCCCTATCACTTAACAAAAGTTGGTATTTATTTCTTTCACCTTGTCTGTTGTTTGTTTGTAAAATATTAGGCCACTTGTTGTATTGTGAATTAACCAGGATCCAGACACGCAGTGTGAGAATGTCACTCTGTTCCGAGGGTTTACAATGTCAGGTATTTTGTCACAGGTTTTTTAAAAATGTCAGATTTGTCAGGAACCTCGTCTCTGGGCGTTGGTTTAATTAAATGTGTGATCCACTGTGCATTTCTGTAACGTTTTTGAGCTCAAATTCTTCATTTAGCTTCAATGGTGTTTCAATGGATTTGTTTCTTTTTCTCGTTTTGTGCAGTATTAGTTTGCTGTAAAGAATTCCAATGCTTTTCACGGATCTGCTCAAACATGTCTTTCGAACGCCAGCTGGCCTCATATCAGACATCATGGGTTCTCAGAGAAAATGACTGATGAGGGCGGACGTGCTTTAGCTCACCTTTTAATAGAGGAAACCACGTGTTCTGCTGTTGATAAAGTATTTTATACTAAATCCGTATCCATGTACGGGCAGTAGAGTGGTGGAGGATCATTTGCGATATAAAACATAATTTATCTCTCTTTCTAGCTCTAATTGAACTTGGACCACCTTTTGGAGATGAAATATATTTGATGTGGTGGCGGTATTGGTGTTCCCACAACTAATAAGCCAAACACAATAATATGAACTGACTCGAAATGATTCGGCATCAACCCCTGTTGCGTTGGACATTATTATTCTGATAACAACTTACTCAGAAATGTATGGCGCAGTCTGTTTTCCAGCTGGTTGAGCTCCGGAATTGATAGCATTCTAACAGGACAAAAGCTAAGGATAATTTCCAAGGCACAAAGGAAACATTTACTCCCACAGCACATATACATGCATTATTTCTTAATGTCCATTACATAAAGACTTCCCATTCTCAAAAGGTGTCCGAAAATTGTGTATGCCGGATTATGATGACTCATCCTGCCTATATTCCTCACAAGATTTAATGATTTGGCGCATCTGGGGTTAATAACACCAATTATATTAAATGCACTATTGAAAAATTACATTTTTATAAAAAAACAAGCATGAGTTATAGAAGGAATATTCTTTCGTGGAATATCTGCTGTCTACAACACATGCATTTCGAAACAATAACAAAATATATTAATTTTTCATAGAAGAGAAATTATATTGATATAACGAGGTTGTAACGGTTTTCACATTTTCTACAGCTTAAACAATGTTCTTATCCCCATAGAGTGTATTTTCAAATCAACTCAACACACAGTGTCCCTTCTGTGTTTATCTGTCTCAGCTTCCCATTAAAAGGAAGTGGCATCATGCATCACAAAACACCGTGTTCTTAATTATGACACTGTGTTTACATGAGTAACTGTCCAGTGGATCCAGCAAGTATCAGAAGGGCCTTCCTGCAGGATCAGACAGGTGCAGAAGGAAATATATGCTCCTGACGGTGTACTGTGTACAATGACGTTAAATCCGGTAGGAGCGTGAGACATTTCTAAAAGGAATACCGAGCTGCTTGTATTGCTACAATCCGGCCTGTGGAGTCTATGTGTATTTGGCCTATTTCAAAAATAATTTGCAAAGCACCAGTGCACTCCAGTGGCGATGAGTGAGACTTACACAATGTCACAAAACTGCCTCTACATTATGGAATGCCGTTTTAGTCAAAATTAAATAAATGAATAAATACATGAAATATGTATTTGAAATACATCATGAAATAAATAAATGAGGCAATAAATACATACATATTAAATACATTTAATTATTTTATGGTACTTTTATTTCATAATGCCACTTTTCATTTCATGGTACCTTTATTTCATAATGCCACTTTTCATTCACACGTGAGTGTTGACATAATGGAAGATATCGGTGGGCATTATGAAATAAGTCTCTGGAAATGAAAAACGGCATTATGAAATAAAATACTCTGGAAATGAAAAGTAGCATTATGAAATAAATGTACCATGAGATGAAAAGTGGCATTATGAAATAAAATTACCATGAAATAATTAAATGTATTTAATATTTATGTATTTATTGCCTCATTTATTTATTTCATGATGTATTTCAAATGCATATTTCATGTATTTATGTATTTATTCATTTATTTAATTTGGACTAAAACAGCATTCCATACTAGATAAGAACATCTCATTATCTGCGTGTTTATTATGGCGCATATGAAATGCATGTGAACAGTAGATGAACAAGCATTTGTTCAAGCAAGAACATGAAGAGGGAAGAGGTGTGTAACTAAAAGCCACCGTTGGGGTTTTTATTAGAGGAAATGCCGACGGGCTGAATCTTCACACCCCAGTAGGTGGTGGTGTTTGCGGCGAGCAGATCGCGATCCACCGTCCTGTGGAAGGAAAGACACAAGAAAACAAAACAAAACAGGAAGCGTCGACGTCGGGGTTGTCAGTTGTCACACGCACAGTGGATTCACCCGTGCCAACGCAATGACATTGGATTATGCTTCTCTTCCCGGATGGAGCCTAGTTTTAAACTAACTTAATACAATGTTCAAATCAAATAAGGACTGGCGAGGGACGGACTACCAAGGAGAATGCCGGAGGACCTAAGGTCACAGAATGAGGAGTTCACACTAATGTCCGCGCTTCCTGCTTCGCGACTGCGGCGGCTGCGGCCACCATGGGTGCGCTCGCGCTGGTCATCCCCGGCGTAAGCACCTGACGTTTCGGCCTCTTTCTAACGCCTTTTTTTCCTGGAACGAGTGAGGCGAGATGGACGACGTGATCACTCTCAGCTCCGACAGCGACGAGGAGGACTCCGACGTGGAAATCGTCGGCTCCTTCAGTGACGTCGTGCCCAAAGCGGAGCCGCTGCCCCTCACGTCCGTCCGGGTCGAAGTCGAGAGCCTCGACGTGCGAACGGTACGAGACGTTAGCTAGCTGACGCTAACGCTAACGTAACGGCACGTTACGTTACTTCGACTCGGGCGTTACCGGAGAAGCGTTGAGTGGATTAAAGAAAGTTAACTAACGTTAACTTCAAATGTCCTCAAGGTGTCGCTGTAGTTTTAGTAAACGCCTCGCAATTTAAAATTTCCCAAATATCGATAGTTTATCTGGCATTAGGTTCCGCGGTTTGGTCGTATAAAGCTAACCTTAAAGCTAACGTAAAAGCTAACGTCAACAAGACATATTGCTTCGGCTCAACGTGTATCCGGACTGTTAATGGTTGAACTAAACAACGAATGTCAGTTAACAACATCGATGTTTTAGCGCCATGTTTGTTCCAACGATCATTGTGTTTGTGAAATACTTTTAAACCAGGATTTAATGTGCGTTTGAGGCACTTGTGCCCACAATAACAGTTCAATAACAATTTCAACAATTCACAGGACTAGCTATTGAGTACTACGGAAAAGTAAAAGTATTTATTACTAACAAGAATATAGGAAAATCGTAAAGAATACAGAAATCATCAACACAAGCCGCAAGTCCAGACAGAAGTCAAATAGGAATGTGGAGAAATGTGTTCATACTGCCATGATATTCATCACTGTAGTTACATTTTTTATTTTCCCCTTTTTTAGCTCTACATTGACCTCACAGATCCTCGATGGACTCTTCCAGAGCTGAAACCCAAGAGACCATATTCCTCTGCTTTGAGGTCGGTAGACTCGATTAAGCATGACGTAGCAAGTGGGACGAATTGGGAGACAAAGCATTTTCTGCTTGATGACGCTCAAACGAAAGAAATAGGTACACGAGTTGAAACTCCTAGAAAACCAGATAATAACTTCAAGGTGTCCTCATCAAGAGACCCAGCTGTTTTTGCCCTTCAGAAGGACTGTGGTACCTTCATGTCAAAGAAGAGACCGTTGGACTCTCAAACACAACACCAAGAGCAGGCCGATAAAACACATCATCACACAGCATTTGTAAAATTAAGACGATTGCCCTTCCATGAAACTGAAATTGCCAAACTGCAAACATCAAAGAGTTGTGTGTATTTAAAGGAAGACGGTGCGCGAATGTCCCTGCACCTCCAGGAAATGGACAATAACAGCCAAGCACCAGAATGGGTTCGTGATTTGAGGACAACTCCTGCATCAAATGGTCCTCACCTGGATCCCTCACTGGATGAGTCTCTTCCAAAGGTGTTTGAATCTCTCATCTGTCAAAAAAAACAGGAGAACAGTGATACATCTATAAACACAGAGTTTACTAGAAAAATGTCGCCGCCTCGACAGACCCCAGGTGACTCTGCCTGCTCAGACAAAGGGGACTTTGTTGAAACCCCAAAAGAGCCGAGCGCTCGTGAAGACGAGAGAGATGTCTTTTGCTCCTCTTCCTCATCCCAAGATGAAGCCCGGAATTTTTTACAAAACAAAGACTTCTGCTCCAAACCGGAACAACGGAACTTCGACAAAGCGGGATCTAAACAAAGCAATGCCTCCGATCCCTTACGCTCCAACTCTCCTACTGCAGGACATTTTGACCGAGACTCTCCGTCCCACACAAATCCCATATCTCCTCACCGTAATAGCCAAGTCGAGCCAACAGCCACCTCCGAGGATAAGCTAGCCGATCGTCTGTCTGAATGCGAGTCAGAGAAGTTCTATCCTAACGAGGCTTCGAACAGCTCTGACTCCTTCCACTGGAGCGTCCCTAATGAACCTCTTTTGTCCGTGTCCGACGAGGACAGGGATAACGGCTCTGGGGCCGGGACGTACAGAGGGAATCTGGGCTTTGACAGTCCAGATCTTTGGCAAGAGGGTAGTGACGTAGAGCATGTGAACGGCGACGGCAGATCGGATATGGACTTTAGGGTGGCCAGTCGAAAGGACAAGCAATTTGTGTGCCCAGTTACACTCAGGAAAATAATGTCCGGCTCGCTTCAGGTCCTGGTAAGAGACGTTTTCTCCAAATCTTTTTTTTTACTTCCGTTGCTTTCTTTACACGAGATGATACGCTAGTCTCAATGTACATCCTCTCTGTTTCTGTTCTCAGCTTGATGAAGAAGAAAAAGGTTTCGCAGCTCCAGAGGTGCTCTGCCGCCAGAGCCTGAGCCTGGTGTACAGTACCATCGACGAGAACTACCCAGAGGGCACTTTGCAGCTGTTGTCTGACCTACTGCAGCCCGGTCACTATCCCCCCAGAGACATCACGTGCCACCTGCTGCGTGGCATTCTGCTCGACCTGCACTGTCCCTACCACCTGTGCGTGCAGGCCTTTAATCTGCTGATGAAGACACAGAGGTGAACAAATCTAGAAACAGGAGTTCATTTGTAGCCTTCACAATTTAAATTATTGACTTGTCCTTTTGCGTCCCCCTGTCCATCTTCTATTCCCAATTTCCATATTTTGGATTTAGAGATTAAAACTGCTCCCTTGATTGCAGACACCACATAGCTGATAGAATGGCAGTTCCATGGGACTGGGAGTTGCTGACCTCAGTCATGGTTGATCAGGTACTATCTTAGCTAGCAAAATGTGTGGGTGTACAATAAAGCTGGGTGATTTATCTAAGTAGGAAGCCACCAGTGTTGTTGAAAAAGACCCTGTTGAAAAGGATTTAGGTTGTAATATTAAGAAACAGGCTTTTTAAGCATGTTTTGTGGTCTGTCAATATATTTTGAAATGACAAAGTCATTGTCAAACTATTGTTGTATAGTATTTAGATATTTCTTTCACCATGTCGTAGCAGGCAGACATATTTACAGCTGAATAGTTTTTTGGTGAATTAAGTGTACTAAGATGTCCCTTTCTGTGCCCCTCCTGATTCCTTCTTCACCCACAAAGAAAAATTCATGTGAGGTTGTGCGGATGCTCCTGGACTATGTTGTGCAGACTTTGGAGGACGACTTCCTGGCCAAACGCTCCATCAATGCACTCCACGACTCCATTGCCAAGGCGACATTGTCATGTGACGAGCAGTTCCCTCGTGTCAGGTGCACATGTTTGTTTTTGTTTTTTGCAATGAAATCATTTCCCTATCTGTCCAAACAGCTGCATTTGAAACATACTGATGTTCTCTGTTAAGGTTGCGTAGTATTGGATGATAGCCAATGAACTCACCACTTTGCTGTAAACAAAACTCATAGCTTTCAACATTCAACATTTAAGCCCACTTTGTTGTTCAGGCTACCACTTGACGTATACAACTGAATATTGCATATCAATCTATAATAGGGTGATCATAATGTTTATAGATTAAAAATACTTCACATTTTTAATTTATACTATTTTTGTTTATAGTAATAATGTGGAGGTTTACTTGTTTTTCCAGGGAGGTTATCAAGTGGCTCTTTTCTGCCATTATGAAATCAACAGTGCAGAAAGAGACGAGAGAAGCAGCCAGAGAGAGGGATGAACTAATCAGGTGAGTCGCCTGAATTTTGAATTTAGAAATATACAACGCAAGTGGTTTGACACATTTACACATTGTTACGGCTGCTTCAATGCCTGTCCTTCCACATTCAAGTTTTTGTCCCGTTGACCCGTGCAGAATGGTGTCCATCTTCCAGAGGATGCTGTCCTTGGCTCTTGAGGTGGACCGTTCTCCAGCTTTGAACTCTGCCAAGCTGTCCCTGGAGCTTTTTCATATGCTTATCAGTGATATTCCTCTGCGAGCACACAGGTGAGGAGGAGAGCGAGGAGTCAAGTGAGCGAGGTAACATAAGCAGGATGTGCATTATTACGAATTGGAAAGTTGGAGCGAGTGGTTGAAACCTTTTCTTTAATATCCGAACATCATGTTACCCTGTGATATTGTGCCGCTGGAATATTAATCGACTTTTGAAGTTGTCAATTTACAATTTTGTAATTAAAGCAATATATGTCATTATTTATTGAGAGGAATAATACTTGTAAGGTATTTAGGTTTTAAAAAATGTAACTTCACAACATGAATTACTAATGTAATTTACGCTCTAATTCCGAGTTCAACAAGCCGTAACGGACCAATTTGTCTCACGCGCAGGACGTTGTTGCTGGAGAGCCTGCAGAGCAAGGTGCTGAGATGTAAGCTGTTGGAGCATCTGTTAGATTACGCATGCCCGCTGAAAACCCCTCTGCCCATGTCGCTCAGTCTTCTGCTCCACTTTCTGAAGTACTGCACTCTGGCACCAGACCCCTTGGTGAATATCACTCTCGCACCATGCTTTTACCTCCGCCTCGTCAGTCGGCTGTGCACAGGTGTTATGTTATGTAGTTAGTATACAAATGTGATTTCCAATCAAACACTTGTGAGTGAACCTCGTAAAACCGCCGCTCACGGGAACTGATGCATGACTGTTCTTCCCAGGATGGTACTGAACGGTGGCAGAGGTGGGAAGAGTTGCTTAATCTTCTCTGGATGTTGCTGCTCAGCTACAACAAAGCGATGGAAGGTGAAATGTTTGCAACATTATTTGACGCGGTAGTCAGGACATGGTTCCCCATACATTCTGTAACTTAAGTAGTATTACTAGTATTCCTACACCACACAAGTAAATCTTACCATAGTAAAAACCTACATCTTGACTGACTAGAATAGCTTTCCAGTGTCTTACTGACGTGAAGCAGACAAGGTTTAAAACAACATTTTCTTACTATGGTTAAAAGGATTTAACAAGAGTTGGACTTTTCTGATCAGGCAGTCAAATTTATTTCCCTTTCCTTTCTATCTACTTTTATTTCCTAAATTCTGTATTTGTGTAGTTGATTGATTTCTGGTGATCATTGCGTATATATTCTATTAAATAAATAAATCGTATGCTATTATGCCTCATTTAAATACAACAACATTTACCTTTACTCACATTTTCACCTGTGCTCTTTCCTGTTGCATCACCTGCATTGAAACACTGCATAATGTTTAAATACATTTCCATACAGATTTATCCCTCACAGTGCCTTTTAAAACATGGGTTACATTAACTTTTACTAACTGATACCATATCATATTCCTGAAATATAAAACGTTTCAACATTAGCAAGAAGCCCACTGTGGTTTAACGTTTTTTCATTTGTTATACCCAGGCTATCTGTGCAACTCGGTCTCTGAACAAAGAGGAAGTCTTGGCAACTCGGTTTACAAACCAGATGATATGATATCCAAGCCGGCCATTCGGGACGCTGTGGAGGCCTTCCTGTCCAGATCCAAGGCGGACCTCGGCCAAGCCTTACCTCTTCATGTGGAAGAGTCCCTCTCTTATCTACAGGATCACCTGCTAGATGTCTGTCAAGGTTGAATTAAAAAAACAACAAAAAAACATTTTTTTTGTTGTTGTTTTTTTAAATTTAGGGCATTCTACTAAATGAATATTTAAATTGTTGTACGAGTTGACTTTTTAAAATCTGAATAAAGGCTGTGCCTTGTGTTTATGAATTAAAAATATATTGATATACAACATGTTTTAATGAACTATTGTTTACAATCTTCCTCGGATCGCCATATAAACCTTTGCGTCATTACTTTGACTACATATTGTTCCACCATAGCCTCCTAATTATGCATAATCTACAAATAAGACACAGAAAATTGAACTGTGATACTTGAATAGTCTGTACCTCGGTCCGTACACAGCATTTAAGGATTGTATGTAGCTCAACAGCTGGTTGGACCGTCTGCACGCTGACCAATAGGAGCGGCCGCTGTTTCCGACGGAGAGAGAAAAAAAGAATCCCAACAGTCGCCATGATACAGCAGCGGAAGCGAGTGAGAAGTAGCTAGAAAACAAAAGAGAACACGCAGTCGTCCTCGCGATTTGGTATGCTCTTGCAGGTACAAGCAAATAAATCATTCTGATTTGACCGGAATAGTAGTCAGACATGCCACGGCGTTCTTATCTAGATGTTTGAAGCAATGTGGTCATTTTTAGAAGCAGGACTTATCTGGATAGGTAGTCTCTCAGCTTCGAGTAATTGAGCTATGTTAGCTAAAAGCTAACATGCTACCTCAATCTATGCTAAATAGCTCACAATTTCCTGCAAGCCCACCATTGTGTAGCGTAGGGAGCTCGTTCACTTAGTTTACAACATCCTAGCCAATTCTGGCTTTTGTGCTGCTAGCTAGCGGCAGCTAACTTAACTAATGTTAATGCGCTGTTTCGTGGCCTTGTGTAAATGCGTAAGTCAGTGCTTTGCCATTATGTAAACATCAATTGTGTAGTACATTTTAATATAGCTGTGTTTCTTTTTAGCTAACCTACTCGCAAACGATGCTAGGGACAATTAACTAATCGCACTAACGTTATATCACGTAACGTTACTTCGCTTGTTCGTTTGCGATCTTGCTAGCTAGTTAGCAAGCTAACTTTAGCTATTTAGCGTTTGTTATGTATAGTTTGATCGCTAACGCTACCTATTGGGGTTAAGCTAGGCTAATGAGTTAGGGACAACGAAATGAAAAAGTCGTCTAGTTTTAGCGAGAGTTGGCTATTTTTACTCGTTTTCTAAATGCAGTTTAATATCCGATATTCACCGAACGTTAATTGAAGCTTTAGTCTATTCTAGTTTGCCAAGTTAAACGTGAAATTTATTGTTACCTTTTTGATTTTAATTCTGCTTGTTATGTAACGTAACTTGACTCTAATGCAATCTCAGCCTCTGTAAAAAGCAGTTGAAAGTTAGTTGTATTATAAACAATTGCAAGTAATGTCTCGCCTTAATTAAGTTAATAACCTGCTCCCTGAACGGTGGGGGTTAAAGGTTAATGTCTTCTGTTTTGTATGTGTACATTTGTTAACATTATTTAATGTGGTTACCTGTGTAGCTAATATGTACACGAAGTTAAGTTCCCTCTAACCTCACAATATTCCAGCTTTAGTATGTAGAGAAAATGACTTGAATGCCTTTCAACTAAAGTCATGTGGGACATCTTTTGACTCACTCCATGACCTGATATTGAAAATCAAACTGTCTCTGCAGTGTTATAGGAATGCCCAAGGAAAAATATGACCCGCCGGATCCCAGGCGGATGTACACAATAATGTCAACCGAGGAGGCAGCCAACGGGAAGAAGTCGTACTGGGCTGAGCTGGAAATCAGTGGTGAGTTTGTAGTTCCGTAGGTAAAGTAGTGTCTTTATGTATCAACGCTTCCTGGTCACATGTAACAAGCCTGTGCACAGCAGACATTTCAACCGGCCATATTACGAATAGAACATGGTTCTCTTCTATTAAACTCCCAAATGTAAGAAACACTGCATGCGCGGTACCAGGAAGTTCAAGTCTGACGAATACATGCCTCATTTGATTAATTAAGTCAAATGGTCTTGCACAAAAATTGCCGTAATACTCAATTGTCACTATTCATATGAACTCTGCACATGACTTTTTTTAAACTATGCATTTGTTTGTTTATTACAGGCTTTGGTCACTGGCATAACAACAGTGTTGAATGTAAAATAGTTCCACAGAGGCAGCATCTTAAAATTTCTTATTTCGCTTGACCAATAGTCCAAACTCAATAGTACTTGTTTGTTCTAGATATTCCTCTCCCAAATCAATTCAAATATTTGGCTTATATTCCAGTGGTTTGCTAGCTGATTTTCTGTTAAATAACGTAATGCTAGGTTTGAACTAGGTCAGTGTAAAATTGTTGTCTTAACAGGATTTTGTTTGTCCATGTTTTCTTGGTTTTCTGTGAACACAATGCTTTCTTACACTCATGCCTAAACATCATCTTAATCATTCACACTAATAGAAAACCATTTATTTTCTACACTTCCCCCCTCATTGAAAGGGGAGTAAATAATTGGTTAGCTGGATTTAATTCTCCCGTCCGTGTTTCTTTTGCCGCAGGCCGAGTAAGGAGTCTCAGCCAAGCCCTCTTCTCTCTCACCCATCTGACTGCCCTGCATATTGCTGACAACTCCCTGTCACGCATCCCACCAGACATTGCCAAACTAAACAACCTGGTGTACCTGGATCTCTCCTCCAATAAGATCAGGAGCCTGCCGGCAGAGCTCGGCAACATGGTATCACTCAGGTGAGTGAGTTTGGTTTGTATTTAATCCGTAATTCTGGCCTAATGGCAACGAGTAGCTGTGACGGGTTGATCTTGAAACCAACTTTGGCACTCACACGTTGGCACTGCCCTTTTTGGCAACATGTGTTATTTTGATCAATCGTAGAACCGTCAGATATCTGCTGAGTTTCTTTCACATTAAGTTCCACATTAACAATAAATCTGCAGTAGCAAAGGAAAAGATTTTGAATTGCATTGAGGTGGATTGTTTCTGATATTGGTTTCCCTACGTCCTCCACAGGGAACTGCTTTTAAATAACAACCAGTTGCGAGTTCTGCCATTTGAATTGGGGAAACTGTTTCAGTTACAAACACTGGGGTTGAAAGGTGAGTGGCTTATTAATGTATTTTGTAGCCAGTTTTGAAATTCCATTGTTCTCTCTGCAATGATTCAGCCCACCTTGCTTTTTCATCACCAGGAAACCCACTTGCACAAGAAATCATGAGCCTCTACCAGGAACCAGATGGCACGCGAAGACTCCTCAACTACTTGTTAGACAATCTGGCAGGGGCTATAAAGCGCAGTGAGTCCCCCCCCCCCCCCCCCCCCAAAGGGAATTGCACATTGCCAGTTTATATTCACCCTCAAAACTTTCCCCAGTAGATACAGGTGGTGATATTATGAACCCAACAGCGTATGGGCCTTTAACTTAATCTTTTGACTGGTGTTCATGTTGTCACCATATTAAACCACTTCTCTCTCCGCTCAGCACCAACGGAGCAGCCCCCAGCCCGGTCATGGATCTCACTCCAGGAACCAGACCGAACAAGGCCCTCAGGTAAGGACGACACACCTGAGGTTAATGCTCGAATAGATAACGGAACCTTTTCATGTGCTTTTTTCTCTGTCAAATTGTGCCTCGATGGAGGATTTTGGAAGAAACGAATACATGCATGCAACCTCTTTTACATAGCCACACAAAGTCTATTTGGATGTCTTGTCAAAACTCTCCTTTTACTAAACCGATCCCTAAGTGTTACAAAATTGACCTTGTTTGCCAAATGCTGCATATAACAAGCATTTTTTCTATGTATAGACAGAAAAAAGAACACTGCACTGATCTAGGCTTTATTATAGTCATTTCATTTTAAGACCAGTAGTTAAACAAGTGGCGATATCCCTAGCCCAACTAAAACAAATAATAATCTGAGGCAATAAATCATCAGCTTCTCCAGCAATTCTGAGTTCTGTCCTGTTTGTCCATTTCTCCCGATAGCGCTGTTCTCTGTGATGTGCTACAATGTGCTGTGTGATAAGTACGCCACGCGTCAGCTATACGGCTACTGCCCCTCTTGGGCTCTAAACTGGGAGTACAGGAAGAAATCCATCATGCAGGAGATAATGGGCTGCAATGCAGACATCATCAGTTTGCAGGTGAGATCTAGACGTCAGAGCTTCAGGTTTCCACCGCAGAATGCAAACAAGTCAATCCGATAAAAGCAACACCTGTAAAAATGTAATGATCGCCAATAAATGCTGTATTTGTTGCATCCTAAAATGTTTAATTAGATTCATTTTGGAAGGATCTGTTTCTTTATAAATGTTTTGCTGTCATTCTCTCCTATTGTCCGTTCTTACGCGTTTCTTCTTTCTGTTGAATACAGGAAGTTGAGACCGAGCAGTACTACAATTTCTTCTTGCCTGAGCTGAAGGAGCAGGGATACGAAGGGTTCTTCAGTCCAAAGTCACGAGCCAGGACGATGTCCGAGTCGGACCGTAAACACGTGGATGGTTGTGCGATTTTCTACAAAACCGATAAGTACGTACTCCCAATATTGTTGCCGAATTAGTTCATAAAATAATTTGATTTAATATTTTTAAGTTAAATGTAGTTATTCGATCTGATTTGTGTATTTCTTTCTGTGAATATCTCTGAATCCAGTTAACACGTCAATATCTGGTACTGCAAGAGGATAGAATTAGGCTGCTTCCTGATGTTGTTGTGCCATCATAGTTTTCTAAGCTTGTACTTTTTTTTTCGTCTTGTTTTTGTTGAGCGGTGTAGCAAACACCACTGCCGACCTACCGAACCGGTTTGACTATTCAAAGGTCTGTTTGTTGCAGTGCTCAGACGGCGCTTTCACTGCTGTAAAACCGCCTGCAGTAATAGATTTTAGAAGCTGCGCTTTGTTAGACGGAATATTAGGGGTTGGATTGATCTTCGACACGATTACTTTTATACAGTAGCACGCCGTTATGATTACTGAGTCTGTTCAATACCAATTTACAGAGTCCCATGCGTCACGCTTCTGTTGTCTGGTGTGCTAGTGGAGCTTTAATGAGTCAGCCGTAGCTACTTACGCTATCTGCCACACTTCTCAACATTGGTTGTGCGCAGGGTTGCAAAATTCCGTGAATATTCAAAGTTGGAAACTTTCCGCGGGAATTAACGGGAATAAACTGGACATTATGGGGTAATTTAACTGTATTTACCTTGTCATAAGCAGACATGCATGCAAACATTTATAATACAACTTTTAAAAACTGACATTTTGTACTTTTCTGACATTTTGTGAGTAGAACTTTATTCTTTCATCGAACAACAAAAACATGAACGTTGAATAAAAAAAACACCCCCACCCCCAATTTTTTATTTTAGTGTATTTCCCTGATTCTGATAGGATTTCTGTTCCCTGCTGGCACTCAAAATGCAGCCCGTACCATATTTTGCCGGTCTATATAGGCCTACTGCTTATAATAATCAGCTACCTCTATTTTTGTGATGACGTCATACAAAATTGCCCCACCAGAAATTTCAGCCTAAATTCGCCACTGGTTTACGTGTCTGTTTCTGGCAGACAATGTTCCCAACCAGCTGCATTCAGGGTCCAGCTAAGCTAGGCGTGCATAGTCTTGTTCTCAACTACATTTAAGTTCTCTGTTATATGCTTTTGCAAAAAAACATAGGCACATTCTTTTTTTCAAAATTCCCGAGCCAATATTCCCGTGGAAACTTTCCGGGAATTTACCGGAAACTTTCCGCCCCTTTGCTACTTGTGCGTCATACCACAAAGCACTTTTGTAAGATCTGTCAGTTTTGTCAATGAACCTGAGCTTTTAATTTTAATTTGCATTAAAGGGGCACAACATGGATTTAGCACTTTAAAGTTTTTGAGGTTTTGGCAAATCCTTGGGAAAGATTTGTACACAGCCCAATACCTCCACTGTTAATGCACATGTTGAATCGTGGGTACTGTAGTTGCATGGAAGACATGTGTGGAATGCCATTGCTGCTTTCAGCTGTCCAGCTAGAGTCAGACTTAAAATATGATGCTAAATTGGTTGGTTACTATTGCCAAGTAGATGAGTCCAGTTTTAATCTGTATATGGGACAAGTGATCATTAAATTATGACCATTTTTAATTTATTAATGCAGACTTTTTTGAATATGGCTCTTTGTGTGGGTGAGCTAAAAAAACAATACAGCTTGACTGTATTCATGTGACTGTTATTGGCCTGCTATGAATAAAAGCATGGTTGTAATGTCATTTAAAAGCCAATAGAATAGTGCTGATGAAGCTGAGTTACAATATAAATGTCCCTCCATAAGAAATGTATTTAACTGCATGTCTTTGCTCTTATAGCTTGTTAGAAGAATTCTCACTTGACATCGGTGTGAAGTCATCAAAACTGGATATTTCATGTTTGCAAACAGGAGACCGAGTTGACACACATATTAGTCATGCGCCAAGCCTAATCAAATGTCTTCATCTTCAGAGCAGGAATATATAGCTGGAAGATAAACATGCTAAAACCCTGTGTTGTGATGGTAGTCGACCTCGGACGTAGATGATCATATTTGTCACCACAAGATTATAAACGTCGACGCACAAACTTCTTGATTATCAGACGACCCAGAACACAATGTGCCTCTGAGTGAAGGAGACTCTGTCGTACTAAGGTGGAACGTTATTGCAGTTTTTCCAACATAGCTTTACTTGTCATTTGAATTTTGATAGTGTCACCAATTAATAAAATATGAGTCTGTAGCTATCTCAGTGTTTTGTGAGAATACTGTTCCCTATTACGTGAATAAATATACAAAAAACAATATCCTACATGTCTAAAAGGGTTCTTCTGCCCGAGCGGTTGAAGGGCACAGCTGCAGAGCGGGGCTGGTTGTCACTTTCATTATATTCATAGATCTCGCCACCAGAAGGTGCTTCGACTCAAATGTTCGTATGGAAATGTCCGTAATTAGACTCCAAGCTTGCTTACGTAGTTTTCTCTGGAGAAGTTTATGGGAAAGGACTTTTTGTGTTCATTATAGATCATTTTCTGCACCGTTGACTTTTACACAATGGGTTTATAACCGCAGCAACAACAAAATCCCCTTTTTAAAAGGGTGAAGAGAAAGCTGTGGATTTGTTGCTAACTACTTGTTTGTAGGCCCGGGCGGTATGGGCAAAAAAATCATATCACGGTAATTTCTGAGATTCTGACAGTATCAGTTATAGTTCCACATAAACACATTTATTGACCATGAAAAGGAACAGCTGTTCACCGGCTAGTTTGTTAGCAGGTTAGCTGGCTGCTAGTGTTGGCAGTACCAGCGGCTCAACAAACTTTGCTACGAATTGTTTTCCGATCTAACTTGCGTCGGATTTTGCCAAAAGCCCTCCAAAGCTCCTGTTTGGGCACCAGCTGTGTTGGGCTCACTTTGTTCATCCTGCATCGCTTTGTTCTGTGTTTTCATGCAGACTTTCTTCCTCTTGTGATAGCGGGCGAGCTTAGCCAGCATGCATTTCGGTGGGGTAATTCTTAATAATATACAGTGTTACAACCTATTGAGTCGTGTTTTACCCTGTTGCAGAGCGTTTATTGTGGGTTATCAATTGTTGTATAAAGTTATAACCACGACACGATCTCTACACACGTAACAAGTATCTCCGACCGCTCGACGATGAGGCGTGAAAATAAATGATCATAAACAGTGCTTCTTTTTATATCCATTTATTTACCTCCAACGCCTTCCCCCCTCCTGTCCATCTCCAGGTTCAGCGCAGTGCAGAAGCACACGGTGGAGTTCAACCAGCTGGCCATGGCTAACTCCGAGGGCTCGGAGGCCATGCTGAACAGGGTGATGACCAAGGACAACATCGGCGTAGCTACGCTGCTCGAGGTCCGCAAAGAGATGATGGAGGCCTCCTGTGAGTAGACGTGCCGTCCTGAACTTTGGCTCGTCTCGCCTGTTGTGAATGGACTTGCTGGTGTTGAACTGTTCATTTCCTTATCTGTATGACATCTCCCTGCTTGCTTCTCTCCCCTTAGGTGGAAAGTCCCTCCATGGCATGGAGAAGCAGCTGCTCCTGGTGGCCAACGCCCACATGCACTGGGACCCCGAGTACTCCGACGTCAAGCTGGTCCAGACCATGATGTTCCTGTCAGAAGTGAAGAACATAGTGGACAAGGCCACGCGCAGCCTCAAGTTGTCCTCCGTCTCCGGGGAGATCAACGCCATTCCGCTGGTCCTGTGCGCTGACCTCAACTCTTTGCCCGACTCTGGTGAGTGTGCGAGGCTGACGGAGCTGTAGGGTTGTCACGATACCAAAATTATGACTTTGATACTATACCTGCCAAAATATTACGGTACCCGATACTTACGATACCACAAATAGGATAATGGAATATATTTATCTATGATAGTAATAAATAGGGGTGTAACGATTCATTTTAACAACATTACATTACATTACATTTCATTTAGCAGACGCTTTTATCCAAAGCGACTTACATTACACTTTAAACCCATGGGTATTTCACATTTTGCCCGGGGAGCAATTAGGGGTTAGGTGTCTTGCTCAGGGACACTTCGACATGGAACATGGGGCAGCCTGGAATCCTTCCCAACACACCTTCTCTAACCCCTGCGCCACGACGACCCACGAACACGAACAATGATTCGAATCGCGATTCATGGTTGCCGATTCGATTCATGGACGATCCGGGTTAATTTAGAATGATTCGATTCAGTGACTTGAAATCGATTCAGTAACTTTACTGGACAGTGCCTGTTGTTTCTTGTAAGGAAATCAGGTTTAAATTAATTATGGATATTATAAAGAAGCAAACAACAATTAATGGCAAATGTATTATCCAAGTGCCATTTTCAATGTAAACATTACACAATGTTTGGATCAATTCACAGAACCCCGGAATTTCAACCACATTGTAGGGACGCATGTCTTTACAGATAAACTTGGCAATTGTTACTGTGATGTTGAGTTTGGTGCTGGCGAGACCTGAGGCGTCTGCAGAGCTGGAGTTACCTGCTGCTGCTGCAGCGGTGACGCTGCTGGAGGTCATGACTGTCGGCGTTGTTTAATCCCACGGCGCTTTAGTAGATGGCTGGAAAGATTCGTCGTGTTTCCGTGTTTTTTTTATTTGGCTTCTACATATTCTACAAACAGTGACTGACTTATTTAGAACAGCTCCGTGTTTGCAAAAGCCAAAATGTTTCCACACGCTGGATCGATAAGTTAGTTTGTAAAAGTCTCGCTCTTAGTCGTCTCCTCTACGCTGTGTTTGTTGTTGTTCCGAGTCAAGCGCAGCTGCCGCTGCGTACTGATGACGTCACAGACGGGCAGACTGAATCGAGTAACGTTTAACATGTCTAAAGTGCTAAAAAAACAAACACACATCCATACTGTTTTTGTGCTTAAATCCAATGTGCAGTTTCGAGTTTCAAGTATCGATACAATCGATTATGTAACATTTCAATAGATTTGTAATTGATATGTCGTCCGGAATGCCGATTTACGGAACACAGATCGATTCAGTTGGATCGCAGGAATATAAATTGATTAATCGATTCAGTGAATGAATCGTTACACCCCTAGTAATAAATAAAAACATAAGGAACTGTAAGGTTCCTTTTTTTTACCTGATATCTGTTTGACGGTCTGTGGGATGAACAATTCTTTATTTACTTGCATAGTTTGATATTCTCACATTCATATTTCCTTAACTAAAAATGAAAAAGGATTAGGTGAAGATCCAGCCTCAGGCTCCACTAGCATGTAGCCTATTGCATCACGTGTGTATTATTTGGTACAATTTTGTGTGCATTCTGACCTCATGATCATATAGGCCCACATGAGTGAAATTGTAGGTTATTTTGCATGTATATATTTCTGCTGGACTATTCAGGAACTTATTTGGGGTCTTTGTCTTGTGTTGCTTGATGTTTGACTGTGTTAAGAAAGTTGTTGTCAAGCTAGCCAACAAAGCTACAGGGCTGCCAACTCTCACGGTTTCCCCGTGTGACACGCGAGTTTCCATGTTTTCACACACACCCACGCCACACATCCAATTTATTACGCAAAAAAAAAAGTGTGCTGGTTCATCTAAACGGCGCATCTATTACCCGATTCGCTGCACGTAGCGTAACTTACACCCCCTGTCAGCCGTAGCTTCACCCCCAACGTCTCACTCCAAGGTTTAGTGAAAAGTATCCCTATAACATTACAAAGAAGCCGACTCGAGAGCACTTAATACTAGCATCAATATGCAAGCGTTTTCTACCAAGCTTGCTAACATTGCTAACGAGATGTCTGCTAGCGGCTAAACTTACTTTGTTTACGACAAACTAGCAAGTCAACAATTTTCCAAACACAGTCAAACATCAAGCAAGTGCAACACAAGACAAAGCAGACGTCCTCTTATACCCGAACATTTCCTCTTTTCGAGACCTAAAAAATGCGTCCGGGTAGAAGAGGACGTCTGGTCACCCGAGCTAAGACCCCCCCCCCCGCTGTCCCTTGCACTTGTTTGTTAACAAAGGTGTATTTATTTACCTAGAGGGAGAAGTATCATATTATCCGGATCTATATGTTTAAATAGAATAGAAAAAGAAAAAATATATATTTAGCATGAAATGCCCATCTGTGCAAAGTGCTGCGTTAAGTCTGCTCCTGCGTTCCTTCCGTCTGCTCAGGCGTGGTGGAGTACCTCAGTAGCGGTGGGGTGGACTGCACCCACAAGGACTTCAAGGAGCTCCGCTACAGCGACAGCCTGACCAAATTCAACTGCAACGGCAAGAGCAGCTCGTCCAACGGCCGGATCACCCACGGCTTCAAGCTGAAGACCGCCTACGAGGACGGCTTGATGCACTTACACCAACTACACCTTCGACTTCAAGGTGATTGTACCGGCACTGCTTCGTGAGCGGGATCTATTCTCAATGTATTGCTTTAAGGTGACACCCCCCCCCCCCTATTGTCCTCTCTCCACAGGGTGTCATCGACTACATTTTCTACTCCAAGCCTCAGCTGAACGTGCTGGGTATCCTGGGCCCCCTGGACCCCCACTGGCTCGTAGAGAACAATGTCAGCGGCTGCCCACACCCCCACATCCCCTCTGACCACTTCTCCCTCTTCGGTCAGATGGAGCTTCTCCTGCCCAATCTGCCCCCCCAGGTCAATGGGCTCCATCTGCCTGCACGCAGGTAGTGAGTCCCTGCCACGTCACCAAGAGGGGAGCCTCTCCCATTCAGACCCTCCTCCCTCCCACTACCAGCCCCTCCCTCCACCATACCGGGGGAGGGAGACAAATACACAACCTGTAAAATATTCGTACAGTGAGGTCTGGCCGACAGGGATTTCGTATAATGTTAAAGATAATCTATATTTTTCTTTCTCAGTTTTTCTTTTTTGTTCTTTTTTTAACTGCTTGATTCAGTCCTGTTTGTTTATCATGTTTTGTGTTCTGGACCCCCCCACTCCCTCTCCCCCCTCAAATCTACCCACCCACTTTGCTTCTGTCCTTCCAACCAGAAGGCATGGTAACTCATTTAGATTTGTCACGTTGGGCCGCCGTTTGGTTTTTAAAGCGTGGGGAAGCGGCGCGGTGCCCCCCCCCCCCTGCCTGTCTGCCTGTCTGTCCTGTATAAATTTGAAACCAGCAACGACAGCAGCCTTGTCAGTCTCCGACCTCCGTCATTGACTCGTGCCCCCCCCCCCCCCCCCCCCCCTTTCTCGGTCTCCTTAGGACTCGCTCGTTAACTGCGTCGGATGTTGTCTGGTCGGATCCGCCTCTTTTTTTAGCCCCCTCCCCTCACGGGCAGATGTAGCGAGGCGAGATATCCTGCGGTCATTCTGTGGTGCTGAGGCCTCTCGTGTGATCCCGGCCTCCCACGGTGCTACCAGTCCCCCCCCCCACTCCCTCCCCCTCCCGGTGCATTAGCTACCAAACCCACAGAACTCCCGAGAACTCCGTTTTCCTGGTTCTCCTCAGGGCTCTACGTGGTGTCGCTTTGTAACGGAAGGATATGGTGAGAAACTGAGGGCAGCTACCATCTTGTTTGCAGGTTGTTTTAACCCCCAGCTTGTGTTGTTGTGAGGCCGGGCTTGTGCCGAGGCGCCCGCGTACCCCCCACCCCCCCCCCCCCCCCCCATCTTCGGTCAAGGGATTTAGGCTGATGGGCAAAGCGATAAAGGGCTTTGAAAAATCTTTTCTTTGTCTCTGTTGCTTTTAGGCAGAGGGAGCATGTAATGGCTCGTACACAGGAGTAAAAACCAGCATTCCTCTCACTGTGTGGAGCTGCTCTCCAACTCCACACATGCAAGCTTACAAACACACAACTCCACGTACAATACAGGTAATTTGCAGGCAGATCTGTAGCACTGTCTCTGAGGCCAGTAGTGACTTTCCCCAGCCATAAATTCCATACACAAAAGCTGTGGTTTTTCCACAAGTGTTTGTACAGAATAGAAATCTAGACTCGGTCTTTACATGATTGTATATGAACCACAAAAGACTTTTCTGGCGTTTTTTTTTGTACTAAAAGTAAATTATGATCAGATTTGAAAAAAAAGGATTGTATTGTAAACTATGGCTAAATTTTTATCCAGTTAATGTTGAGATGAATTGATATTACCAGCTTGTACAAAAGACGTAAGAAGAGGTTGTTCAAGGCGTTCACTGTCACAACTCTGCACTCCCTAGCTATTAACCCTTTCTCTTTCTTTACTTCTTCTCCCCCCCGTCCCCTTAATGTTGATTTGATACGCCGGCCTATTGCTGCAATTGTAAACAGACCGCAGAGTAGTCCGCCTGTTGCTTCTCGCCCATTAACAAAGCCATTGATCCACAACGCTGCCATCAGTTCAGACAAGGACACACGCGGATGAGCCGCCGCCAGCAGTGACTCCACAGCTGTTCATCGTCTCTCACACACACACACACACACACACACACACTCTCGCTAGTGGCGTGTGACTGATACAACTATTATTAATCCCTCATGTACAAGAAAAACATCGTGCCTCACTGTAGCAGTTGTCGTTGTCTTGCACTATATACATTTGACGAACGCCTGAACAACCTTTTCTCCTTTTTATTTTTAAATACTGTTGAGACACTTGTGAAGATTTTATGTCCTTTTATTATTTTTTTGTTAATGTTGATTTCCTTTTTTATGAGCTGTGACAATGTTATGATGATGTGTATATTCTTCCTATTCATTGAGCTCTATTAATCAGGTATGCTTTCTCCACCGACTCCTTTGCCCCCCTCACGGAACACGAGTGCGATGTGTGATCTGTAAGTCCACTCAGTGATTGTCGGCCCCCTATTTGTACCTCGGCACAGCTCCACGCCCGGAACCACCATAAATATCCAGCCCGTCGCTACTTCCACGGCCATGAATTCTAAATCTCCTAAGCCCTCTAATGCCCGACCTCAGACCCCCCCCCCACCCCCCCCCCCCTTTTATTACTCAAGGTGTGTTTTTTTAAAAACTGTTGGTCGAACGGGCTGGAGCTCTTACCTTCGCTACTGAAGCTGTGGTGGCGGCTGGGGGCCCTCTGAATCGGCGGAGGTGGGAAGGCCCCTTTGCTCTGCTTTTGGATGAACCAGGGACGAGGGGGAGCGAGCTCAGCTTTTCCTCTCTGAAAGCCGGAGAGGCGGCACGTTGCGACGAATGATATTTCTGACGTCTCGGCAAATGAAATTAATTTAACAGACCTGTTTTTTTACACCAAAACTTTACAAAAAAGTGCACGGACGACGAGCGCCTAATAGATGCGGACGTAGCTCCCCTCACTCCTCGGTCCATCTTATTGGCAGATAAAGATCTAATTTACTTTAATGTGTATGTTGACATTACATTTTTTTAAAGCAAGAGGGAAGCAAATTAATAGGAAGTATACGTTTAGTCCTCTGATCAAGGTTTCTTGTCCCATTTGTCCCATTTGCCCCCCCCCCCCCCCCCACATGTCTGTCTTTTAACCTATTTTTTGTTTTTTTTCTCCCAATGGGAACAAATGTGTCCAGGTTGGACTTTTTCCTTCTTTCCTGGATGGGATTAGTATTGTATTGGGATTAAAGGGTAGCTTTTTTGTAAAGTGTGAATAAAAGATGTATCTCATGTTTCCTTTCTAAAAAGAAAATGAATTGTGTTATGATGTGTAAATCATGAATTCTTAGACGGTGTTATGTTTGCTACATTGTTTTTACTTGTACTCAATATATTTCCACCTCACACCAAATCCCCTGTTGAAATGCCGCTGGGACGTCGCGTGGACGAGTTGGTGAGGTGAAGCGCGGAGGGCTCGCCAGTGACGTTCAGCACACGGTGTTCAACTTGATTCCTATTCGATTTTTTTCTTTGTTAAATTAGCTTCTCGGCTTTATTTTTGGGTGTTGCATGGCACTGGCTGGAGAGTACTGGTGCCTTTAGCTTAGGACAGTCTCACTAGTGGCCGCAGATTGGTACCAGAACCGCGGTTCAGGCTGGCGTGAAATGTGTTTTTAGGGCGGAGCCTAGCGGCGCGTCGATGGTCCCGTGATGACTTTTGAGTACTTCTAGTCCATTTCGCTCTTTTCTCGTGCATCACCGTGTTTAAACCTGTTACACTAGCTAGCTACTATTGCCTTTTGTGGCTGAAGTCCCTTTGGTTGTTGACTCCCCGGCTCCCCACCCTTTTTTTTCTTTTTTTTTTTAAACCCGGACTATTGACTCTTGAGTGAAAATGCGGCGACTGGCTGAGCCGAGTCCCCCTGTAAGCTCGCTGGAGCTGTCACTTTGTTAGCTTTGTAATCGCCACTGTCTCATTGTGTTTAATAGGTTGTTGTTGTTTTAGGTGTAGAGTCATTTTCCCAGGCTGCATCTCTTTTGTAATGGTGCACACCAAAGCGGCTTGTAGTCCTCCTGTAGAGCAATTTCTTTTTCCAACCACTCGCGTTTATTTTGTTTAATCCCAATCGTAGTCTTCATCAACTGCAGGGCTGTGAGGAGATCAAGAACTTTGGGCCTTTTTTTCCCCCCCTTGAATCACATGAACAAACTTGCATCCGTATTCATACACGCCGGGATTTGGTTTCTCAAAAGACATCCGATTCTGATCTTTTTACAACTTTGCAATAATCCCCAGTAAACATTCAGACCCATGCAACGTGGGTTTTTAAAATATCTTACCTGGAAGCCGTAGCTATTTTGTCATTTCGGCTGGCTGCTGCTGCTTTCAATCATCTCCCATCTGCTCTCCCGTTTCTTTTCCCCATGCATCATCCATCTTGTATATTTGCTCACCCTCCCTCCCTGCTGATCTGGTAGTTGTTCAATGATCAGAATTGTCTATTTGTAGTCAGCTGAGTACATTGATCTGTGTCACTGTGTTTATGCACTGGACCAACTATTGTTTACCATTCATGAAATACCAGCAAAAATAAAAAAGAGAATAATGTCTAAACACTTGCACAATGTTGTAGAATGTCCATTGATCCAGATGAAAAATCAAGGCAGCTGTTTTCAAATCAACACATCCCGTTTAAAAAAAAAAGAAACTGAATGGTAAACAATGCTTTCTGTTGTACACTTAGCCGTCCTCTTGATTCTCTTCGGACTAGTTCTGTTTTTTTTTTTTTTTTCTTTTCCGCCGTTTGACTACAACAGGTTCTGCTTGTTTCCTTTACACCGACCTATGTATTTTCCTACTTCTGGTTGAAAATAAATTCTATATTACCTGTTTCAGGCCGTGTCACCTCTTATTTTTTTGCAATGGATATTGAAAATAAAATCCGTTCTCCTTGAACTGCCTCCTTTTTGCTTTTTTGATTCTACCCAGTCTTTTTCAGACTTTGACACAAAGTGTTTTTTACTCTTCATTTTGTCCTATTCCCGTTTGCTGACCTCAGCTCAACACCTCTCACATGTTACACAAACTAAACCGATTTAAATAGTTTTAGCTGATCGTGTTCCAAACAGCTGGTGGCAGAACGTTTTGTTTTCTTTCCTCAGACTATCTTCTGCAGCGAGTTCGTTAAACGTGAGTATCGGTGGGTGATGGATTGTAATTAAAACCTGCACGCTCACTGTGACCTTTTGGCCTCACTAGTGGTCCGGAGACCGTCATGGTTGAAGCCTCTGCGTCAGCAGGCGGGGGCTGTTTCTCTAGCCGAGCCTCAGCTTTTTCTTTTCCTTCTGGGACGGCAAATGAAAAGCGAATTTCCCGTCACGGGATCAATCAAGTTTAACGTTAGATGCCTAAAAATGGGCCGGGGGCTGACTGTTGTATCATTTGTAGACACACGATGGAGCCACAGGATCAGGATGTATTTCGTCTACAGGAGGACGTCAGCGCTCAGCTGGTGCCTCATGACTTCAGCTGCAGGGAATTTAGACAGATGTTGCACAATACGATGGAGATAACATTGCGAATCCGATTGATGAGCCAATCACAGCTGCGGTTGATAACGGGAGTTAGTGTATGTGCCGTGTCTTTAGTACACAACGTTGTCATGTGTTTATTAACCACATATGATTCACGATTGTTATAATAATCAATTGAATCATTTAATAAAACATCAACCACAAAGAGCATTCTTTTTTTGCCAGGCTTTTTGTGTTTTGGCTCAATAACGCAGGAAGCCTTCAGTCAACGTGGGACTCGCTGAGGTCTGTTGGGTTTGCTTGCTTCTAACTCTTGGCGTAAACGACCACTAGCAGTGTTCTTTTATTTTGATGATCCCGTTTCCTACTTTGATTTTATGTGACTTTTATTTTGACATCAAACTATCTGCAAACGTGATTAATCGCTCGTGCTCGCGTTTGTTCAATAGAAGACACGAGAAGCCACGTTACAAGACAATGCAGGTTTAGAGCCAGAGATTTAAAAATATCACTGTAACCTTAACTAAAGTGTTCTTTGGAGAGCTATATCATTCAGTGTTTTGATTAGCTTTGGCAGTAAACGTTTGAGAAAGACTTATTAAGTTGGGCTGCTACATTGTGCAGAACTCGGTGCACTTCAACACTTGTGGTGGTGCAGTTGTGTCCGTGACATTATGACCAGTTAACCGGCCCGAGCCTCCATCTCTCCTTGATTCAGAAGGAACCTGAGAGACCAAGTGGAGGCGAAGCTTTACCAGATGCCCACAGAAAAGCGCCAAAATCGTATGTCGACGCAGAACAACACAATTATTGATGGGTTCCCAATCCGATTTTCTGCTAGGCGCACATCTCCATCCAGGGAGTGAATAAGGCCTGCTGACGGAGCCAAAGCGCTTCCTGTTATTGCCCCTGAAATGGACTGTGACAGTAACTACAGTGCCCACCTGATCGTGCTCACGTGG